TCTTCATGGGAGTAGAAAACCCCGAGACTGTCATCTTCATGGGAGTAGAAAACCCCGAGACTGTCGGTCTTTATGGGAGTAGAAAACCCCGAGACTGTCAGTCTTCATGGGAGTAGAAAGCCTCCAGACTCCCTCCCTGGGAGCTGCTGGTGACTTCAAATGGCTGACCCCGGGGTTCTACAGCTCAGCACTTAACCAGGGCCCCTTTTAATAAAAAGCAAGATGATAGAATCAATTTCCATTTTTAATTGAATTTTAATGTATGGCTATGGGAAGGTGAGGTTTCCAAAATTAAAATTATTGACATCCTACAAGTTGGCGGTGATTTTTTTTAAATAGTCCAGCTGAATTTAATTCACTCTAAATAAAACATGTGGCTGCACATAGTTACAGTGGCCCGAAGTGCACTGCCGTAGTGTTCCAGAACTGTGATAAGATAAAAGCCGCAAGTGGCCTTTACAAACAGAATTTTTTTTTGTTTCCACACAGTTCAGTAGACGAGAAGCCCAGATTCAGGTCAGTTCTAGGGAAAGACTTTATCTGTATTGGTTCTTTCAGCAACGGTGGGCTCAGCATTCTTTGTCTGTCTCCACCTGTATGCTATCGTTCTTTCCTTGGGTCTAGGGGGCTTTCAGCCCTGAGAGGTTGGGTCCAAAGGAAAATGCTTCTCTCCCAACTTTTCCTTTAGGTGTTCCTGGGGCTCCTCTCTTGCTGCTTGCTTTCCACTTGCTTCTCTCTCTTAGGGAAGTAAAGGGTGAATGAACATCCCACCCTTATCCTGCCTCATTAACATAACATATCAACTAATCCTCATTAAGCTGACATAATTTTGGCCAGCTCACGTCCCAAAGGAACTGAAATCACAGCCATAATGGCTAAACTTTTCAACATATCACAAAACGAAGGATAATCAGATCAGGAGAAGACAACCACACAATACTGGAAATGGGAGGAATTCAACTCAGTCCACGGCAAGCACATTTACAACTTCAAATTTCTGAATGTTTATTTGTGGGGCGGGAATCCCCCGACAGCAAAGCATAGCAACAAATTGTGGAGCTACATGTTTGCAACATGTATGGCACACATGTTGCATGTGTGTGTCACCTTAAAGCAGCGGCTCTCAACCTGTGGGTTGTGACCTCTTTCACAGGGATCACCCGATTCATAGCTAATAAAATGACAGTTATGAAGTAGCAATGAAAATAACTTTATGGTTGGGGGGTCACCACAACACGAGGAACTGTATTAAAGGGTGGCGGCATTAGGAAGGTTGAGAACCACTGCCCTAAAGAGAGAGAGAGAAGAAGAAAGCTGAGTATGGACTGATTCTAGAAGTAGAGAGACCCAAGTAACACTATGGTGTTATCTATATCATGTTAGAGAACCTACTAGAATTATCAGGGGTAATACAGAACCTATTAGCATAAGAAAAAGACGGGTCCTAATGTTTTTAATTGGACAAGGCGCATGGAAAGGTTACTCTCTAAAATCAACAACAATAAAAAAAGAGGGCACTAGACATAAAAAGCTTCACTGCTATAGTAATCAGAGAAATATCGATGAAAGGAATGCAGGTATTAGAGTGGCTAAGATTAAAACTTCATCATTGTTGGATATTGGCAAGTAGTTAGAATTGGTACCACGGTCACTGTTAATGTTCTTGATAAATGTAACTTGGCTTAGTCTTTTCAAAGGACAGCTTGGCAGTAATTGTTATGTTTTCAAGAGCACATTTGCTTTGACCAAGCAATTCTGCCTCTAGGAATTTAGCCTAAAGAAGTAATTGGACAAGTGTACAAAGATGTATAAGGATGTGTAATGTTTGTAATAGTGAAAAATGGAAACTACCTACCAAACCTCCGTAATCGAGAGGGGCTAGAAACAGGGACTCGACAGTGGGCTCAAATGTCCCCGCCGCTGTGAGGATGACGCGGAACCCGGCAGTGTTTGTTCTGTTGTCCGGGGATCGCTGTGTGTTGGAAATGACTTGTCACCCAAGAGATTCTTGACAGTGGTGAGGGCTTGCCGTATTCTTGACTGGGGAATATGGCAAGGAAATCGTTTGTTAAGGCATATTTATCATGGTTTCATGATTTTTTTAGAGGAAGATAAGTGTGAATATGAGTCTCTATCCTTAGCCCTGGTAGCATAATGGTCTCCACATCGAGCTTCTATCCACAAGGACAGCAGTTCAAACTCACCGGCTGCTTCTCAGAAGAAAGACGAGGCTATGTGCTCCTATAAAGATGTAAAGTCTCAGAAACTCCAAGGGTCAGCTCTTCTCTGTCCTGTAAGGTTGCCATGAGTTGCTATCAACTCGGTGGCAGTGAGTCTGTTTTGTTTAAAGTAAAAATCTGCAGTTCTACTCCCTACAGATGATACATGTTAACGTTTCGGCATGAGTACTTCCAGATATATTTTCCTTATGCTTCAAAAAACAACCTCATAGGCGCTTCCAATCAGAACTACAACAATAATGTGAACTTATTGAATACAAAATTGAATTCAATAAAAATATTTCCTGGAAGATATGAGATTAAGCAGAGGAGGGGGAGGTGACAGAACTGAGTATGGTCTGCGTATAGGAGACTTGACTAATAGTTTAGTGTTACCTCCTCTGCCAGCATCGCGACAGAGAGCCCACAGCCTTCTTGAGAGTAGACACGAGGCATAACAATGGAAACATTTTGTCTAGTCCTAGGAGAGTTATCCCCGCTCCCTCATGACATCTTGTGATTAGATGCCAGAAGTTTGTTGTTGTTGTTTTGTTTTTAATCATTCCTTTAATTTGTTAGGCTCTCTCACAACTTCTCGTGAATCAAGTGAAGCCTCCTGATTCTCAATGCATTCTGTCACCAGAATTTCTCTCCAAACTGTAGGCATGGACTGTTCTTCACTATTCCTATAACAAGGAAGAAGTTCAGCTTTCTCTTTGTCTTTATAAACATATCTCCTAGAGCCCTGGTAGCCTAGAGGTTATGAGTTGGGCTGCGATCCACAGGCCAACGGCGTGAACCCATTAGGTGCTCCTAGAGAGAAAGACGGGGCTTTCTGCTCCCGTGAACAGTCACCGTCTGATACCCACAGAGGCAGTTCTGCCCTGCCCTACAGGGTCACTGAGTGGGCACCAAGGGCAGCAGACTTTTTGGAGAATGGTATCTTGACTTGAACAAGTAGCGGACAGGAGTAGTTTTGTAAAGTAAAGGACGCACACTGTGAAATTATCTGTACCCCCCCAAGAAAAACTCCAGGTGAATAGGAAATCATGGCATTTCAAAGGAAAAATGCAGACCTATCCATCAGTGGTGAATAAATCAACAATTGAGTGACTTTGTCTTGTGCCTGGTCTGGGGTCTTTTCTTGGTGTGTTACTTGGCTTCAGGCTAAGGCATAAAGACAGGTACCCTTTAGAGCCTTGAAGCCGGGCAGGCTTATTAGTTGTAAATGCATTCAGCTGTAGGTTATAACAACGTGGCAACAAGACTGACTGTGACATCAAGAAAGGTAAACCAGTATATTTTCTCCTTGTAACAAAAGTTCTAGGATAGGTAGGCCAGGGCTGTGGAGCTGCTTAACAAGGCCCTGGGGGACTCGAGTACTCCAGTAGACAAACCCAAGAGGAGTGGCCCTGGGAACACAAATTGAATATTTTACACTGTGGCTACCGTGCAGCTGTGTCTGCAGCTGAATCTCTGATAGAACATAAGCTCTGTGAGCAGCTTTCTCTTGAAAAAAAAAAAAAAGAAGTAATAAGCCTACCTTCAAAGAATTTTCAATGCTATAGAACTTGAGACCCGGTAAAATGTGGGGTTTATTCAATTAGGCACAACGACCAAATCTACGTTATGATTTGTTTTGTAAGTACTTGTGTATGAATGGTAAGGACCATTTGGAAAACAGAAAAAGCAGGGAGAAATTTTAAATCATCTTGTTTCCTACCAGCAAACACAACCAGTGCTAACTTTCTACCGAACATCCTTTTACATCTTTTCTTAAATGCATCACTGTGTGCTGTATCTTTGTGAAGCTTAGGTAATCAAATACCTTTTATTGTGATCATATGACCACGATAAAGTATCAAACTCTGGAATAATATTTTGTTAGTGGCTATGCCAGTTTATTCAAGGGTTCCCTGTAGTTTGGCACCAGGATTGATGTCAATTAATATGAGACATAACCCTGCAGTAGGCTTATTTTATAAACTATGAATTTAGGATTTTTTTATTAGACTAGATTCCCAGAAGTAATATTACAAAAACAAAATGAAATGGTGATGCTCATAAGCAGGATGTGAGCATCAATTTTCAGACATATCACAACTCTAAATATCATAAACAACTGCTCTTTGGTAGGCAGATCATTTGAATCACATTTATTAGATTGGCCAAAGGCCATCTAGAATACAGAGCAGTTTATGTAAGCAAAATGAAATTATTCGGTATATGTTTTAAGTGAAAACTTTCCTTTTTTTCTAATGCATGGCTGTTTTGAATTTTCTGATTTCTGCCTCTGTCTCAGTTTCACAGGAGATTCTAAGCTAGCCTCAAGTATGCGCTATGTGGAAACGCAGTCGATGCAGATAGGAGCTCCCTATATGATTCAGTTCAGTTTGGTGATGGGATGTGGTCAGAAGTACACACCGCATATGGACAACCAGGTGAAACTGGAGTATTCAACCAACCATGGCCTCACCTGGCACCTTGTTCAGGAAGTAAGTCAGTTTTCTTTAAAACTCCTGCTGGGCAACATCTTTTTACATAGGAGGCAAAGAAATTACTGTGCTAACACTTTAGACAGTTGGGAAGAAATGACGCTATTTGAAACAGAGAATTGACATGTATGTAAGTAAAGCCGGAAATAGATGACAAGAATGCCACACTTTCTTTACTACCAAAACCCAAAACCCAAACCTACTCCTGGTGACCCTCTATAGGGTTTCTGAGAAGCAATCTTTATGGGTGCAGACAGCTTCAGCTTTCTCCCAAGGACCCACCGGTGAGTTTAAACTGCCAACCCTTGGGTTAGCTGTCTGAGCAGGGCCTAAGCCACGGCACTACCCAGGTTCCTTACCTGCTGCCACAGGAGTTTGACATTTAAAAGCAAGTGGTAAACAATACTGAAAACATGTATGAAAGAAACGGGATGACTCGAGGCTGATGTTTTAATTTCTCAAACTCTTTCTCTAAAAACATGATTATGCCTATCTTCTTTCTTAGGAACAGTAAACCTGTCATGACTATCATTTCTCCCGTTTTAAGAAAAAGCAAAAAGAGCTATCTAGAGATAGCTTGGTATAAAATACGTGTAGGATTAATCTGACTTGGCAGTAAAGACATAAATGGCAATTATTGAATCATTTGAACAAATGCTAGGAAAAGGGGTTGAAATTGAAATAAGTTTATTTCTGATTTTATACATAGAATTAGAAGACTCTTCATGTTATTGTGGAATCATGTTTGCATTTTTCCCCAAACATTTCAGCTTCATAGGAAGAACAACCGAGGGCTGTTTCCCTATAGCAGGTGGTTAAAATTCGGCCGGAGAAGTCTCCATGGGCTTTTTCGGGTGGGTTGGTGGGTAGGTAAATATGCTGAGCCTGCGGCAGTGGAAGCTGAGCTGGACTCTGGCCTTTCTCCTTTTAGGAATGCCTTCCAAGTATGCCGAGTTGTCAGGAGTTTACCTCAGCAAGTGTCTACCACGCCAGTGAATTCACACAGTGGAGAAGAGTCACGGTGCTCCTTCCCCAGAAAACTTGGTGAGAGAACGTTTTTAAATATATCTATCCCTTTAACTTTCACTGTCTCCATTTCCATGACTGGACGGTGAGGACAGATTCAACACAATGGCACGGTTTTATTTATGTTTTCCCCTAAAGGCCTAGATCTTGCTTTTGTAACTGAAGATTTATGAGAAATTGAGTTTATAAAAAGTGTAGAAGTTTGGTTTCAGAAGTTTCTCAGCTGCTTCTGGCTTCCCCTGGCTTCCCTTGTTCTTCTGTGAGAGAATTCGATGACTCCCTCCCTCTGGGTTTTCATAATCAAAAAGAATGACAGACACGGGCATTGGTAAAATTCCACCTTAACACAGTTTTGTTTGCAAGGCAGCTGTCTTGCTGCAAAGTCCTACCTTTTTATGCCAACAGCTGACTAGATGCTTTTTTATTTTTATGTATTTCTTTAGTAACAAGAGACTGAGCAGAGGGCTCAGCTAACAAAGGGAAAGATGAACATTTGAGAGGATGAAAGAGAAAGCACCTTATTTCCCACCCCCACCCCCAAATATGATCTGGGCTCAATCTCGTTTGGACTCGATGGATTCCTTTGTCCACTGTGTGGAAATAGAGCCTAGAGGAAAGAACGAAGCCAGGGAAGCCGCTTAGGCGGCCAGCGCCATGTTTAGACAGTACATGGGGTGTCCCACACTGTTACTGTAGCAAAGGAGATGATAATCATTTCTGAAGTAAAAATTTAATTACATGGAACTTCCTGGTGGACTAAACAAGAGAAGATACAAAACAATTAGTTCTACCTTGGAGAAACTAGGTGACCGGTGGCACCACTGACTGAGCTGGGAAAGGCTTGGGGAGGAATGTTTGAGGGAGGAAATGAGGATTCCATTTTTGTGGTGTGAAGTTTGAGATAATTATTATCTGTCTCCTCAAGCAGAAATATCAAGAAGACAGATGGAATCGAGACATGAAACTTGAACAATCGGTAGTATTTGAAGCCCTAGGATAAACTGATCTCACCTAATAAAGAGCTTTGATTAGAAATTACGACCGGGTTCTCAGAATAGCCCTCCCAGTGATTAATGAGCCACATGATTTTGACAACTCACAGCCTCTTCACGATGATTTCCTTAGTAAAATGAAGAGGTTTAGGTAGATCAACCTAAGGGTCCTTCAGAATTCAAGAATTGTAAAATCTTGTGATTTGTGCAGAAGACCCCTAAGAGATTAATTTTATTTTTCTGTGGTATTTGCTTTCCAAGAACCTTTTTGTAAAAGAGAAAACAAATAATTCTGAGGTTAGTTTTATATAACAGACTCTACCATAACAATTTGGTAGATAATCTAGAATATTAGTTTTATAATTCCTTTAACAGAAGATTAGACTATTACATTGTGTAAGAATTCTTCTGTGCTACTTTTAAGGATGTATCATTATATCCATTGGGATAAAATGCTTGAAATTTTATTTTCATACACTTTTTATAACCAGCTTAGTCATTTCCTAGAGATTCAATTAACGCTTTGTCTAATAAGTTGCTACTTTCTCTAACATCCTATTTTTATGTATACTGCTGAGACTGTAATTGGGACTTTAATGTTAATTACATTCCTGACATCTATGATCAAGATTATGAAAAACAGCACCCCACACAATTAAAATACTAGCACTCCCTCCCATTCTTTCCCCGTTAAATATACTTTTACTCATTGCCATCGAGTCAGTTCCAACTCATAGCGACCCTACAGGACAGAGTAGAACTCTCAGTGGGTTTCTGAGACTGTACTATTTATGGGGACTAGTAGAGCCTCGTCTTTATCCTGTGGAGCAGCTAATGGTTTTGAACTGCTGACCTTGAGGTTAGCAGCCCAACATATAACCACTATACCATCTGGGATCTATCTATTGAATATAGTTCCTCATTATTTAATGATTATTAGTTTGTGTTCATTAACATGTAATATACATTTTGAAAATTATTATAGTAATACAAATAATTGATAGTTTCACTCCCAGAAACATTGTTGACTCTTATGTTTTCCTTATTGTAGTTTAAGTTATAGCCAAGAAAAACTGCCTTGTTAAAGAATCTTTAAGGTCATTTGGTACTCAAATGTATTGTTGCAGTGTTGTTTCTTAGTTCAAAAGATGCCACAATTATGTTGAAATTTTGGTACAATTTCAAAAGGTCAATTCTTATCAGTATTAGTTACTTGAGAAAATATATACTAACTCTTAAACTCTTTATTACCAACAGAGTGCCTTCTGTGTAGTAGGTATGCTTATTAAATGTTGAGGAGTTAAATTAAATTTTAATTCATACTACTACCATGAACTGAAGAGTTGTTTTCTTACAAAGCTTTCTCTTTTTTTGCAAACAAACAAAAATCTAAGTGATTTTCCCCTATTCCTTGTACGTACTTGTAACTTAAAAAGAAAATTAATTCTGCTTTTCCAAGTTTCCTTTAATCCTGGGGAGAGGAAGTGAAAATATTTTTTAAAAACAAAACCCTAGTAGGATGTATTTTTTAATATTACTACTGATTCATTCATTAATTAAATATCACTGCTCTATTAAATATGTATATGCATGTATTAAACTGGTGATTGCCACTTTTTTATTAAGAATACTTAAGATCTCTGCTCTAAAAATAAAGTACATTTATTCTTCTATACATTTTGGTAACTTTATCACTTATGCTTACTTCAAACTTTTATAAATGATAGTTCGTCTCAAGGAGGGAACACAGCTTAGTTTCAAGCAGTATCCCTTTTTGGAAACTCTTCTCAATGTTCTGCTTAGATTCAAACATATGCAACTTCAAATTGAATGCGTAGAAGTAAATGGTGGTCTTTGCATTGTCAAAAATCTTTTAACTCTGGAAAACGTACTGGATAGGACAACTTGGAATGGGAATATTGAATGTATGCACCTGCTCAGAGAAATTACTTTGTATATGAACTGAGCATTTGTTACCCAATGAAAATTAGTTTTGTTTTTATGAGAGACATTTACATAAGAACAGGGCCTAATGAGACTCAAACAGCTGTCAGTTGCTGACTTCGTAAACAAATCAACACCTAATGACTGAATGAGTTTCAGAATAACTGGGTAAACGTAATTACAGTAAGTGTGAAGGTGGAAAATACAATTTCATCAGCCTTCATTTACCTTAGGTTACCTAACTACCAAGAGATGACTCAATGATCCTTTATTTCCTCTTGAAGTTTGTATGGGAAAACATCAAATAAAGGAAAGATTGTCCAGTTCTGTTGTCTTTGGGGTTCCACAGAACTTTAAATGCAAGTCAGTTTCATTCCGTGACCTACCAACAAAGAGGACTTCCACACTTTCAGACTCAATTCAAGTGACTTCCTTCCCCAGAGTACTTATTTATAAGAGAGAGACAGAGAGGACTGGCGAATTAAGTATGTGTTCAGGGCGCCACTTGGCAGAGAGGCAGCGGCAAACCAGCGGGATCACGCCTTGTGTTCTCACATGTGACCAGCTGGAGACTGCTCACACGACTTAACTTGTTTCTCACTACACAGGAAGCCAAGACTCAACTTCTTTCTTCCAGCCAGCATATTAACCTATAGGTTATAATTTTAAATGGAACAAACCGTTTAAATTCTTAAGAAAGTTTCCCTTTTCAATAGTTTACAAGATATATTTAAGGATTGTTCATTCAGAAAAACAATTTAGAGCCACTGTAAAAAATAAGAATATAGAATGTGTATACATATGACTAGAAACATAACTGATAAAGGTAGGACAGATTTCTGAAAGAAATTCTCCAAGTACCATTTGAAAATTAAAAGTATCAAAACTTCAAAATTATGTTTGCCATAGGTTTTGTTTAAACATATATCTACAAAGAAAGTAAACAGTTGCCTTAGTCAACACACCACCATCAGAATCATTAAATTTGGGAGCTGGAAGAGACTTCATAGACCAGTTTACCCCATCCCTTTATTTAAGAACTAGAAACTCCAAGGGCTTACATTTCTCACGAAAGGTCACCCAGCAGACAAATTGCAGGAGGAGGATCCTGGGGTTCACAACATTCTCCCAGCACTTTCTCCCACCCAGTGCCTACAGAAGTCACACACTGCTGCTCCTTCCCGGCCTATTCATAGACTCATGGACTCATTCTTTTAGCAAGCTTTTGTTGAGTGAGCACCTATTTTACTCTGTTTCTAAGTGAACTATTGAGGCCAAAGATATACTTTCTCCCAAAGACTTCATGGTCTAGTTACCTATTTTTCTAGACTTGACTCAAATTGTTATTAGTCTAAAAGCTTTCCTTCGCATGACACGTAGGACATGGTTTTTACATCTTTGCTTCAGAGTTTACATCTTTCCTTCTAAGACAGTGCATCTACTTTCATAGAACCACTGTTCATGGTCCATTGCTGTTGCGCTGATTCTGTAGGACAGAGAAGAACCAACCCATAGGGTTCCCAAAGGCTATAATCATCACAGAAGTAGACGGCCGCATGTCTCCTGCGGAACCTTTTGGTCAGCAGCCAAGCCCTTACCCACTGTACCACCAGGGCTCCTTCCCTTTGGTAGTGGGACCGTGGCAGTTGTGATGGCTGTTGACTGCACATAGAACTGTTAGCCTAGGGCAGGTGCATCTGTCCTGCGGCACCTAGCACAAGGAGCACAGCCGTGCAGCAAACCTGTGTCTACCAGTTACACCTCAGTGCGTCATGAAATTAGCCCATGAGGAATTAGCCACAGATCATTGGTAAAATAAACAATAAAGGCTTAGTCTGGATTTAAACAGTCTGTTAAGTACTAAGGGAGTACTTAATATGTGGATAATTGATGCACTAGACCTTAATGGATCGTGCAGAGCTGTTAACATCAAGTACATATGTGATAGGGTGCTTAGGGAGGGTTTAATCAATGGAACTGAGCAGGCACATTAATTCTGAAAACCCTTTTCTTTTCTTTCATTTTTTTCACTCTGACCAAAGAGAACTAATTACAAATCCCTGAAAATTCCTAAACATGAAAAATAGACTGTGATTATGTGTGGGTGTATGTGTGGGTGTGTCTATAGATATATTAGCCAATAAATAGAATCCTTTTTGTCATTACTCTTAAAACCTCCCGTCTTCAGACTTTACTTTTTATCAGCATGTCCCCAAAACCATGAGTAAATTAATGTTTCAGAATTAATTAGCAGACTCCAGCATGTAGGTTGTCTTGTTTGTGGCATAGGATTGCCGTATGATTCCCTCAGCCCAAAACAGTACCTTCTCAGGAGCGTTATCGTTGGACCTTGAGAACCTATGCATTCCTTCCGGAAGTGTACACCTCTTCAACACTCCACATTTTCATCCATGAAAGACTCCTTTAGCAAATATCTTTGATCTTCAAATAAAATTACTTACTTTGCATCTTTCATCAAATCCCTATGCAGCAAAACTCTTTTCTTGAAAATCGATCCAATTAAATGAAGATGGAGGTATAAACAATGTAGACAGACTTCCTTTGAACGTTCTGTCATGAAAGCATTGTTGAAGGTCACATCATGCCGTGCAAATAAAAATAAAGGAAAATGACTGGTCGCTAAACAAAAGCTGAAAAACAATGTGTGTTATTTAAAATATGTTGAACGTTGGCATTCTTTGTACAGGAGGTGCCTGGGTTGCAGACACCTTACTTACAGATGACTCCTAATGTGTGCTCCCTTTGAGCCCAACTCCTACTTAAAAAAAAACAAAAACACCTGCATCACTGTCGTTCTCACTTGCTGCATGAGCAGCTTTTAAATCACTGAAGAGATTTCAACCCTTGTCTTGCACTAGACCAAAAAGAAAGTGTTTAAAAGATTTTGAATGTTGGCTGTGTGTGTGTGTGTGTGTGTGTGTGTGTGTGTGTGTGTGTGTGTGTGTGTGTCTGCACAGGACATCCCTGGGCTGCACTAAAGTTGAGGCTAATTAAGAACCATATACGCTTGGTGTGATTAACCTATAAATTCTTAAAGACAAAGTTAGATTCTGTTCGCCTTTGTGCCCTGGGGACTGCCCGAATGATCGCCTAAGAGTTGAAAAAAAAAATGTTTGTGTTTGCAATTCTCCTTTGCTGTTAGGTCAAGTGCCACCCGCTTCCGCTGGAGCCAGAGCTATTACACAGCTCAAGATGAGTGGGCATTGGACAGCATTTACATTGGGCAGCAGTGTCCAAACATGTGCAGTGGACATGGCTGGTGCGACCACGGGACATGCAGGTACATGTGTCTAAAAACTGTAAGCGATGACTCAGGGCTTAAGGCTATATATAGGATTTCCATCGCAGCTTTTGGGATAATTGAGTGAGTAGAATGATAAATAATGAAATATCCAGAAGAAAATGAACCTTCTTCCCTTGCTCTTATTTCAGTTGTAAATGATACTGTTTTATTTCAGGAGGCACCGCGCTATGTATTCCAAATCTCAGTATCTAACCTTAAAGCAAGGACCCCTGGCTTTAAATCTTATTCACTCGTTAGCCCCAAAGTCATCTTTGATCGCGAAGGTTCCCTCTCCTTCCCTAGACAGTTTTAAAGCGGCAGTCAAACAGCCGCTACGCGTGCTCCTACACCACTTCACCAGAAGTTCAAGGTTGTATGCTTGGGGAGATGGTGATTATCACTAATGAGGACGAGATAGGAACACACTTGACTGCCTAAAGACTCTAATGGGGAAGTAATTTAATCAGAACAAGGTGCAATAAAGCATGGCCAGTGCTGTATATTGGTTGGGAGACAAACATTTATACGTGCCTTGTTAAGGCTACAAGAAACTCTGGTTATCCCCTCCTTCCCTACTCTCACAGACAGACACATATCCACTATTGAGCACTAAATTCTATCATTATTTCTTTGTCACATGAAGAACTCGTGCTTATTACTATCGTGTACAGTTTAAGATGGTAGGAAAAATCTATGAACGTTGAGACCTGAGCAAAGATGAAGGGCGTGGGCAATGTCGTGGGTCAGACGGTCTTTGCCATTAGAAGTGACTCTGTGACTTGTTTGGTGGCCCCGCTCTCTCGTAGGTGTGACCAGGGGTACCAAGGCACCGAGTGCCATCCCGAGGCTGCTCTCCCTTCCACGATTATGTCGGATTTTGAGAACCAGAACGGCTGGGAGTCTGACTGGCAGGAAGTGATTGGGGGAGAAATTGTCAAACCAGAACAAGGATGTGGGGTCATCTCGTCGGGGTCATCTCTGTATTTCAGCAAGGTAGGACTGAGAAGGACTGCAGGTGTGTGGTCAGGGCCAGCGTTGCTTTCATGTGTGCTGCGGTTTGGGGGCAGGCCGAACTCAAAGGGGGGAACATGAAATGCTTTTACAAGGAGGCTTCAGAAAATTCATGGGAAATGGCATTAAAGATAAGGTTTTTTTAAAGAACTTTTTAAGGCACCCCCACGCTCATATTTCTTCCCTTCTCAGGCCAGCCATGGAGGGTCTTTGAGTGAGGAAAGGGCTTGGTCTTTTCTGACCCCAGCCTTTAGAGGGTACAAGTAGCTTGACATATGGGTGAGGGGCTGGAGTTTGTGGCGGGGAATACTTAGAGGTTCATAGAAGCAACTCTAGAGCCAGGCTGCCCATTTTAGTCCAGTTCTATCACTTGCTAGCTGTCTGGCTTGGAGCAAACTATTTGACCTCCCTGTGACTTAACATTCTCTGTGACTTAAGATTCATTTGAAAATGGAGAACATTAGATCAACTGCATCATCCTGTTATTATGTGGATCAAATGAGTTAATATTTGTAAATCATATAGAATAGTGCCTAACAGGTAGAAAATGCCTCTATAAAAGTGTTTGTTAAATCTCCGTAATACAGCTAAAGGAAGAGGACTACATGGGGCCGGGGACGGGGTTATGTCAGCTATCTTGGATCTTATTCTAATATGATCCTCGGCTGCTCACGACATCTGCTGATGTGCACATGTAGAACTTTCACTTGCCTGATGCTGCTGCCTCAATGGCAGCACAGATTAGACATATAGATTGGTAAACACCAATTAGAAACCAAAATGCCAGCCCCAAATCTCTAAGGCTGATTGTCTTGAATACTCCATCCCATGGCTAATGATGGTCCAGAGGACACCACTCCCTTGGATAGAGTCTAGAAAAGATACTCCTTTCTTCCTCCCTCCTCTAAATGTTTACTGTATACAATCTTCAAAGGGACTGGCAAGCTGAATAGATTCAGCCTTTTAACTTGAACATTGTGTCCAAATCTAATGATTGGCCTCCTTTCTTAGCATGCAAGATGCTTCTTCCAATCAGAGACCATATCCGCCAATTCAGGCACAAATAGAAATGCTCTACTCTACAGCAGGTAATAAGTACATAGGTGCTAGTTATATGCTGTAGGATTGATAGATTGCAAAATCTGTTTGGGCAGAAATCCAAAACAAGATAATTTATGCAAATCCAAAAATAGATGCAGGTTTTGTTTTGATGCAGGTGCAGAACAAAGAATCAGCAAGTAAACAAGATAGAGAATGCTCAAAAATCAGAGATGGATTCCATGTAGTGGTATTTCCTATCCACTGGCATTTAAGGTCTCATGGTCATTATTTTAAAGTCAATAATCCAAGTGTCCAATATTCATTGCATAGATCTGGATGCCCTACTTAATGGTGCACAGATGGCAAGATTATGCCTCTAATAAGCTTCTATTTTTTTAATTATGAATCCTTCAAAAATATGTACCATTGGTGTACCCCACCAATCAACATCTAGGCACAGATGTGTGTATTTGTACATAAACACACACTCTATTTTAACATAAGTATATAAATGGTCTAGCTTCCTTATCACTATTTTTTTCCATTTAGTTCAAGATGATCTCTTGAGTCAGACTATCTGAGTTTGCATCTGGACTCTAATGGATTCACCTTACAGAATTATAATACCTCTCTTTATGTCAATTTCCTCCACTAAAAGAGGGATATTGGAAGGATTAAACGAATTAATTCAAAGAAAGACTAAATAATCATGTTTGACAGATGGAAAGATCTCAGTAACTGCTAGCTACTATAATTATATTCTATGAGAATAATTTTCAAATGAGTTAGATTATTTTCATGTATATGCCTTGCCAGATAAAATCAGTATTTCAGAGTAAAATCTTTCTCTGTGCTTCCGAAACCAGTTTTCACTGTCAATTTTTGTAGAAAATATGTAAGCATCATTGTGTCCTTTTTTTTGTTTAACTTTTTCCAATATTGTATTATTCAGCTCTGTTTTGAATCCTAATGGAAGGAACTCCCTTGTTTTTGTGTAGCCAGAACAGCGAGGGCTAAGATGGAACTACTTCAGGAACATCTGAAACAAGGAATTCAAATGTTCACAAAACGTTCCCTGATAGCAAGCATCTTTTCTGGTTCATTGTCACTAAGAGATTGGAATTAATGGCCGGCCACAGATGTTTATCATGGAGAAAAAGAAATTTGTTTTTTAAACAGTGCCCTAGAAAAATCTGGGGAAGATTTCTGATGGGTCATTCATGATAGTGTCCGATGATTGGCATATCTAGAGTCACATGCTTGTGTCTGTGGTAGGGAGGTGGGATCTGTGGTTGGGAAACTCGCTACCAAGCCTAATTGAAGTGGTGAATGGGCCAATAACCCCAAGAATGAGAGGTGTTCTGGGAAAACAAAGCCATCACTATCTCAGCTTACATTCTACATGACATGAGGCCCCGTTGTGCTTTACACTACACATTGGTCATACCCATCTCCTCTCTTCCCTTTCCATAGTCATGCCTCTAGTCCAGGAAATCACGAGGGCCTAGCTCGGTGTGGACAGAGAGTTTTGCATGTCATGTTCACTACTGTATCCCTAATACTTAAAATAATACTCGGCTCATCGTAGACAGCAGTTCTTGTGAGTGAATGAATAGATGAACTTGTCCATGTGAATCCTATCTTTTCTTCCTTAGTTCATACCACTCCCACATTAATTTATCCAAACACACGCTGCTGCCACCCAATCACTTTCCTACTCAAAAGTTTCAGGATGGTCTTCAAGAGTGCTACCCACACTACGTAATCTATTTCCTTTTTCCGAACACACGCCCTTGGCTCCACCAGGAAGTTCTCCTCATCATCTATGCTTATATCCATTTCCCTCCCTGCGTGCGCTACCTACCAGACATTGTCTCTACATCCTTAGAAACCTTTCCGCAGTCTGCTTGGACCCTGCTGCTTCCATGAAGCTTCCTCAGCCTTTGGCAAGCTACACCAACCCATCCTGCGTGAATCCTCTCTCACGTAGGTTCTATGCATGTATGTTGGCATTGTTTCAGCCGAGCCTTAGTCGACCCTTTTATATTTTATTCTCCCAATTGGTTTTCAGGTAACGTGAGGGCAGTCACAAGATCCTAACTTTACACCTTGTCTTCACTTGTTGACTGTTTCATTATACAGCCATTTGCATTCATGGCAGCAATAAAAGCCTCTTATCTGACTTCTCTGTGCCTTAATGACACACATCTGGCAGTAGCAAATGCTGAGGCATGAGGCAAGAGCAACACAGGCTCTGATGGTAACGTTTGTGTCCATTTGGTGGTGCCATGATTCTCAGTGGTTTGGCAGTTATGTAATGATGTAATTTGGCAGTTCTACATTCATGTAGTCATCCTCCATTTGCACTTCATGAGAGTTTCACATCATGGCCTGGTCTTTGGATAGGGTGGAGAGGGTGTCCTTGATCTCAGTGCCCACAAGAATTCAGAATTGCCAGCTGATGGGGAAGGTCTCTGGAGAAGGGGTCCAGCTCAGCAAAAGGCATGTTGTGAACTGAGCACGCTCCATGAATAGTTTTCATTAGTTTTAGACTGCGGAAGAGCTGACAGCTCCTCAGTTGGCGACACGGGGCTCCAAGAGGAATCGGGACTTGGCCTGGAGCCTTCGCTGTCATGGCTTCTATCCACGTGCCCTCCCACAAGTCCAGGAACTAATTCATGTTCGTTTCCCAGCCATTCCAAATAGGAATTAATGAATTTCATTAACTAAATAAAATTGAAATAACACACATTTTTATAAAGAAATTTTCACCATATTATTTGTTTTCTAGTGGCCTTTTTGATTCATTAAAGTCTTTAAGGGAAAAAAACAAAGCGAAGGCCTGTGAAGTGTTGTACAGTTTAAGGGTGTCCTGTTAAACTTGTTTTATTTTAGCTCAACCCTTCAAGCAGTTTAAAATGGAAGATTGGGAAAACCTGGGGGAATTTTTCACACTCTAGGAGTGAGAGGACCCGACCTATTACTCCCACATGCACACAGGCAGACACATTGTATGTGAATTTGAGTCTCCACGTACACACATCAATACCCTGATCACGGAGGAACAGAAAAACTTCAACATGTTTCTCCGTTATGACAAACTGTGCCTGAGCCACTTCCCTTTTCTTTTTCCCAGACTTCAAACAGTATTCCATATTTCAAGTCACTGAACAAAAGAAAATCATTTGTGCTGCTCTCTAAGTGGGGTGGAGGGGCGTGGAACAAAACACTCTTCGTGCCAAACTAAGCATTTGTGTGATATTTTCCATCACTTACAAAAATCCCACAAAACACTTCAAAATCCTCTGTAGACTAAAACCGTCATCTCCTGGAAGAACAACATTTCTCTGTGAATTTCACAATAGACCAATCATTCCAACCAGCTAATTGTGATAATTGGATTTTTATAATTCTTTTCACCTTCGATCTTTATCCTTCTGTCTCATTTCCGCATGCCAAGTTTCTCACAGAGGTTTGCAAAATTGGACTCAACTTGCTTAGTTCTCTAGTTTTGCTTCTCCAAATCATTCCCTTGTCATAATCGTAAGGCCTGAAAATACTAGACAAGTTATAATAGTCTCTAAGGTGTTTCTCATGTACAGTATTTCAAATCAACAAAAGGAAAATTTAAACTACCTGCATGTTATTGGTAAGATTTTCTCCAATTTACACTTAAACTATAATGCTCAGCAATGAGCCTGCCTATTAGCTTTAAGATTCCTTCCAGTATACATGTAAAATTAAGTGTTAAAAGAATTGCATTTCTGTCTCACAATGAAGTTTATTTCTCATTTTTCTGGTATGTTCAATTATGCTTGGGATCTTTTAGTTAGCTGTAGTTCTGTTGTTAACAGTGTACTTTTTTAATTAGCCCTAAGTATTTCTCATGTGGTTTATAATAACTAGAACCCTTTCTTAATTAACTCACTAGATTAGAGTAAGGTTTGAATTTTAATTGAACTCCTTGGATGCTCTCTGAAACCAGTTCAGGGAAGCCCAAGCCCTGGCTTTGGCAGAATTGGGCTGGCCAGATCTCACGAGCAAACCCTTTTCAATACCATTAGCATAGACCCATGGAAGCAAATAGGAACAAGGAAAAAACCCTTCTCAGTTTTTATCTTGACATCTTACTACAGGACTGTGATACGCACTGACACACACGCAGAATTTGAAAAAGTGTTTAAGATAAAGACACCATTTAGTGATGGGGGAAAGACCTGAAATGGCCCCTCCCACACTCTCTAATTTGAGCAGGGAGACAGGCTGAGAGACCAAGAGCCTGAGAGACTTGGGTACCATTCTTTTTTGTCAAGGAGTTTCCATCTGCCTATTATACTTCAGTCACCATTATAGAGGTGGGTCAGGGGCATATTTCTGGAGAAAATGCCCTGACCAGAAGGCATTTTGGCATTAAGGCATCCATGCGACCCGTTATTTCATCAGATTATCACATCACCCTATGAGGTAGGTATTACTATCCATCTAGTGCCAAGATGTTCACGCAGCTAATGAACAGTAAGAATAGTGAGCTGAGGTTCAAGCCTCCCTCTGAATGATTTCAAAATACATGATCTTTATTTTTTATTATCTTGCCTGGTGGAAATATACAGAACAAGGAAGGAATGGGGCTATTTGGGTGAATATTCATTTTTCATCATTGAAAGAATCTCAGACCATCCTTGATAGAATTAGCAGTTCCCAAGGGTTTTATAACTCAGTCTGTGAATCAGTGATGTAGAGATGAAGCAAATGGATTCCAGAACCAGAGGAGAAACAGCGAAGTGCTATAACCTTCTCCTCTCGACTACTTTGGGGACAAACCTTCTCCACATAGAGGTAGGATGTGCATGCGAAATCGAAACCGAAACAACAAAATGCAAAAGTCTCCAGGGTGACTGAGCTGTGTTTTTCTGTCCTTTGGAAAGGCTGGCAAACGACAGCTGGTGAGCTGGGATCTGGATACTTCTTGGGTGGACTTTGTCCAGTTCTACATCCAGATAGGCGGAGAGAGTCCTGCATGCAATAAGCCCGACAGCCGAGAGGAGGGCATCCTCCTTCAGTACAGCAACAATGGGGGCATCCAGTGGTACCTGCTGGCAGAAATGTACTTCTCGGACTTCAGCAAACCCAGGTAACCTTCAGCAAAGCCATGGACCTTCCAGTGGTTCCCAGGAATGGTCAGCATCGTATAGACTGTTGTTAAGATGTTTCCAAAATATTCTGAACTGCAGAAAATTGACAAACACATGCATGGTTAACATAAGTGATCAATAAATCATAAACAACACATAAGAATTTCATCTGAGTTAAGTGTATGGATGAAAACCATTTGTATTCGTGTTGGAATTTTCTAAGACGTTGCAAAGAGTTGTGACTAAAGGAAAAGAAGGAGATTAACCATTGTTTTTCCCAAAGAAACTCTGATGCAGGAATGGTCGGCGTTCACTACACTATTTAGAAAAACTGTTTGTTCCATTTGTGGATTTTAAGATGTATGCACAAAATACATTCAGCTGTTAGATTCAACTGCAAGGTGGATTTTATTAAAAGGCTTTACACGGCTGCGTATTGGGATAGCAGACAATGTAGATGGTGCATCAGGACTCTGTTCCTCTATAGTTGTGTCAGCCCCGCTCGGTCTATGAGAATATATGGACTAAGGCGTCTTACACAGTGACTATTAAAAACCAGGGAAAGTGACTCATGTTTAATATCAGTACCTCTACTGGGAAGTCAGTATATTTATGAGTGTTTTAAATTACTTCTATTGTAACTGTGTATTATTTTGCAATTTTATACTTATACTCTACATTTTATATGTTAAATAACATTGAAATCTACAAGAATATCCATGAATTTTAGAATATCCCTTTCTAACCTCTGTATTTTCCCTTTAACACAAAAATAAATGTTTTCTTTAGGTGCTGACCTCGAAATAATAACATGTTCAAATTGCTTTGTGTTATTGAAAATATTTTATAGCTCTAATTTATGTTAAACCTACTACTTACAGTATACCTATTTTTCAGATTGAAAGTTTTTAATTTGACTTTCTGAGACATTGACAGACCAGTCAAAAGCATGCCTTCTAAGGACTAGAAACTAGAGCCAGGAGCAAATGGATAAAACAGGAGACATGAACGCAAAGAGGAAAATCTGGAGGGTTGGTGCACAGACCTAGTGAGTTTGCTCAAGACGCAGAGATGGACAGAAAGAATCTTAATGGGGCCAAAATGGCTTAAGCAGTACAATTAGGTGGCACAGATTTATTTTTCCAAGTAATATCACTCTGAATCTGGAAATAATAGAGTTCTATAGAATGATGAGATAACTGTCAGATAAGAATTCACTAACTTTTTCAAATACCAGAAACTTTCAGTCCCAACCTGGACTTAAGAGGCCTTTGAAGACCGTCAAATAGTACATAAAGTATCTTTTTTATGGGCAGTTTTCTCAAGAGTTTCAAACTTTTCACCAAATTCTCAAAAAGTCCTGTGACACTAAAATATATTAGAAACTCTGTATTGGACGATAGAGGACAAGACCCCATTCCTAGTGGCAAGGACACACACAAAAAGAATAACTTTTCACTAATTATAATGAGAATTACCAGGAAGAAAATGACAAAACTTCAAAATCTTCTCCACAGTTTTAAAAGAAAACAAGTAAATGGAAAATAACACATCATCCCTCCATAGGAAACCTGAATGTTATGCTATAAAGGTATCTCTTAACTATAAATGTAATGTCATTTTTTATCAGAATCCTAATGATTATTTGGGGGAACTCATCTCTAACAATGTTAGCCAGCGAAAACAGATCTTACATTTAGGGGAGTGGGAATATAAAAATGTTCTATGTGATATTAAAACATATTTAAAGCAAAAATAATTAAAATGTGTATAAATAGAGCAATCAACAAAGCCAAATAGATGACCCAGAAACTAACCCAAATGGGGGTAAAAAATTTAAAATCTGAAAGGCAAAATCAACTGTCACTGAGAAATAAAAGAGTTATCCAATCAAAATAGTGAAGAAAAAAATAGCTAATAATCACTTAATATTATCACAGAACTGTTAAAGATTAATGGCAGATTTAAAGATTTAGTTAATAGGTGACTAATGGATCTTGCATAAGGGCTTAGATTTTTTTCAATACAGATTCCATAGAGGAATTTATAAAGGAAAAAACTACTTACCCACACAGACATAAATGTACCTCCGGCAAATGTAATGCATGCATGTCAATGAAAGCATAAGAAAATGGAAATGAGGAAACGGATGGGAAAAATGTGTATTTATAGCAAATATAAGGAACAGAGTTCTGGTCAACGCCCATGTCAGGGTCTTAAGAAATGATTGAGACAAACATTCAATAGAAGATGGGCAAAGGGGAGGAGTGGGCAAGTTGTAACATGGGAAATTCAAATGTTCAACAAGTCTGGGTAATGTTCAATAAAAAGCACCCCCCACCCTATTCCTCTCAGCCCGAGTGCTCGCTCCAAGTGGGGATGGCCCAGCAGGCTCTCGCGTGGTCTCACAAGAGACACTTTCAGAAAGAAGCGTAGCAAAAGAGTTTTAAAGGTGACTAGATTGTCTTTGGCTGCTATGCCATTTCTAGGAATCTCTCTTAAAGAGCTAAGGAAGAAACTGTGGTATAGGTAAAGGTTTAGGCATACGTAAAGATTTTCATCATAAACATAGTTGTTCAATAATAATTTCACAGTTTATAAACTTAGAACATTATAATTCTCTCACTACTGGAAAAGAGAGTGTTCCTATGAAATTTCACAAACAAAAACGGCATACCGCGAAAACGCAATTAAGTTTCATTTACACAGAACAACTTTCAGCATTCTCTGACCCAAAAGATAACCTACCAAATCATGCCAAATAATGCACTGTCCCTCAGGTAATACTGATAAATAGTGCGCACAGACAGAGTTCAAAGTGAGGCCGCTTGAAGCTGAAATGCTGAGGGTAGTTTCCCGGGAAGAGCTGGGGACGGGGCTGAGAAGACACTCGGCCTCTCCAGGAGCCCACAGCAAAGCAAATGCTGATTTCCAGTTTCTCTTTTTTCCTGAATGCAGACATCATCTTCAGATTTCTTTCCATTAGGCAAAACAACTAGTAGAGGTATTGTGTAAAGCCAAAGTGGGGGAAAGTGAACTTTTGAAAAGTGACGGCCACTTGGGGATTTTCACAAGCACACTATGCTCCTTTGTTTACGGCAAAATCATTTCCATCAACATGTTAACAGTGGCCAACACCAGGCAGGGATGATTTCTTTCTTTCTAATGCATATTTGTTGTCCCACAATAAGCAACAATGGCTTTGAAAGATTTACAAATAGTTTCAGTGTAATATGAAGAAATCTTTTTCCTTAATTTTTCTTGACAGAGTTATGAGCATTGTCATATCAGAAGATCTAATCCAATAATTCAGACTCAGTAGGACTATTTTGCCTCTTTTCCAGAAGATACAATTCCAAATGGAATAAACAGGACCAAGACCAAACCTACAGCTTTCAACCGCTTGTCTGAGCTGCCAAAACCTTTAAAAAAAATATCAAGAGATCAAATAAAAATGTTTTCTGGTTGCTAGCCTTGTTATTTTAACAAGCTGCTAAGAAAAACACAGCTTTTCCTTTCCCAACCATAAACCTTAGTTGCTATTTTGCAGGTTCGTCTATCTGGAACTCCCAGCTGCTGCCAAGACCCCTTGCACCAGGTTCCGCTGGTGGCAACCTGTGTTCTCAGGAGAAGACTATGACCAGTGGGCCCTCGATGACGTCATCATTCTCTCTGAGAAGCAGAAGCAGATCATCCCAGTTGTCAACCCAACTTTGCCCCAGGTATTTCCCATCTGTCTGGGCTCCATGAAGACAGAGATTGTCAGCGTGGGTGGCCTGAAGCAGCTGCTCACGTCAGCAAGGCTCGAATGTTTAACATTGAACGTGTCATTAACATTTTCTGCTTTTGCACCAGAGTCACTTGGTGATGTGCAAACCCAAAGATTAGGATTCTGAGTCCACTAGAAACATCTTGGAAGAAAGGCCTGGTGATCTCCTTCCAGAAAAATCAGCTGTTGACAGCTCTCTGGAGTGCTACGCAGACACACCTCGGCCACCATGTGTCACAGAATTAGCTTCCTGACAACTGGTTTTGTTACTGTTGTTGTTTGGGAGTTTGTGTTTGGTGTTTACACTTACATTTTTTTTTTGTTTCCTATGAGTGCTACTAGTTCACAAATCACTTAGAATTAAAACATATGATGAAATCTGGCCAAGTCATCCAGAAAGATTATTGGGGTGTTTGTAAGTTGACTCTATACATTGTGGCAAAATAGTTTCAGTTGCCAATAATTGGTAGAAAATGTTAATAGTCGTTTAAAAAAAGTTAATTTAGACATCTTGCTCTTTTGTACCAGAAAATGGTACGTGAACCTGCGTGACAAGAATTGAAAATGCCCTTCTGTTTTCAGAGCCATCAAATTCCCTTTCTGTGTTGTTTGTATTGTTTCTGTTAGAACTTTTATGAGAAGCCAGCTTTTGATTACCCTGTGAACCAAATGAGTGTGTGGTTGATGTTGGCCAATGAAGGAATGGCTACAAACGAGACCTTCTGCTCTCTCACGCCGTCAGCCATGGTGTTTGGAAGATCAGATGGAGATCGATTTGCAGTAACTCGAGATTTAACTCTGAAACCTGGATACGTGCTACAGTTCAAGGTATTTCTACACACACATATTCCCAGAGCAAGGCAAGAAGCAAAACACCTTTGGGATTTCAAACTTGAAAGTCACAAGTTTTTTCTTGTCGTAGTAAAGAAAGGAGTCCCATCAACAAAAGTTCAGCAATCTTAGCATGACAAAGCTTTGGGGCTTCTTAGTCATAGGAAAACAGCTTGTCAGTGGCTAATGAGCCTCAGAAATTGTGTCTGTGGCATGCTTTCTCTTGATTTACTTAGGGAACTCTAGGAGAGTTGAAAAGAAAATTGCCTTGTGGAGCTTCAGTCTGATCATGACAATGAATTCCGTGATTCCAAATTGTCATGGCCACGTCCCCTTCAGCTTACAAGTGATATTTGGGATCTAACAGTTTTTTTTATCCTTTTAACTGAAGGATTTTCTAACAATTTATATGTGGTTGATTCAGTACATTATGACTTCAGTTGTTAACATTCTCTAAACAGTTTGTTGCTTTTCAGCTATGTGGTCATATGTCAACATGGACAGCGAGTATTTACTTTGACAAGCTCTTGTTTCTGAATCCTAATCAAATTTTCATTGTGTCCATAATAAAATCCCATTGGTGGATTCTGGGGTTGAAAGTAATGCAGTTTTAATGAGCTAGCACAACTACATGGCCCTTGAACAATGACTGGGTGCAGATGCTAAATAATTTACAAGTGGAAGTATTAAGGAGATCAGATGTTTACAGGCAGTGCTCTTCAAATATAATTTCACAGGTCTTTAAACAAGAAGTTAATCATAAATAAGATGATTAATAAAATGTTCTTTCGTGGATATTGAAGAGACTAATGATCTGTTCCATGTGTATTCTCCACAATTCATTTTCATAACATTATCCTTCTCTGTTTAGATGATGTTGCTAACTTGCAATGGAAGAAAATCACCTGTAACCTGATACAAATCTATATTTATTTGTTGATCCTATATAAAAAGTTAAAAATAATAACATTACTCGCAAATGCTTTGCACAAAACTCTGCCATTTCTCACCTGACACCTTTTCTACTTAATTAATCACAAAATCATGAGAGTGTAGGTGTTAAAGTCTGCAAGGTGATATTCTGAAGTTGAAAAAAATCTAAATATAGAAAACATTAAATGTTGCCAGTAATTTTAAACAAACATCAAGAATGCATAAAGTTTAAGAAGAATCTAAATTCTCACTAAAATCGCACCAACAGGAAGCTATCGATTTGTGGCAATTCAGTCATAATGGCTACACATTACAGGTCATGCAGGGATTGGTAATTAATGTTTATCTGAAACCTTTAAGAGGTAGAGGGTATAATTTTTACAAAAATGCAGAGTGATGATCTTTTATTTTTTGACTGCTTTTCCATGTATAAGCTCTAGTTACTAGGATTGTCTAGATGAAAAATATGGCCCAGCCCCGCAAGGGAACTCAAAAACTAGTGAGTGAACCAGTGCAGTATAATCGCAGAAGTGCTGTCAGAGCAGTAGTCTCTAGGTACGGGGAAGTAGCCTGCACAGTGCCTGCTAGAGAAGCTCAAAAAGAGATCTGTGGGTGACTACATGGATGGCTCCACAAATATGACGATTTTGCCAGCTGAAAGACAGAAGGATAGGAATTGCAGTTAGAGGGAACAGAATGTGAAAATACTCTTAACATGTAAATCTGTGGAAATTCAAATGAGCACGGTAAATTTGAAAACCTCGAGGAGTTTTGTGAAGTATGTGATACTCATCTCATGACCCAATCAGACTTTGTCTCAGAAGGCTCTTTCTGTCAGCCAGGTGGATGCTGAAGTAACAGAGCAACTACAGTCAGTTAGGACGTCCATTCATTCAACTTACATTTCTGAGGCTTTTACTATGTCCCAGGCAATGAATGCGCTAGCCTCTGAAAAGAAATAGGAGTAGATCGTGTGTATTAAGGTTGTTGAAGGGTGGTACCATTTTATAAAGGGTTGTCAAGGTTGGGGGTCACTAAATAAAGTGACAGTTAAGTTGAAACCTGATGACAGTGGATGGGAGAGCCAGGCAGCTCCATGGAGAGCGTTCTATGGGGGCCATGTGCCAATGCCTTGGAGTGGGAGTGGGATTGGGAAGAAAATCATTATGACAAAAGCAAAGAGAGCAGAGGGACACAGAAAACATAAGTCGGACTTGGACATTTGATTACGTAAGATGGCTAGCAGAAGAGTGACTTGCTGTGACTGTGGTAGGGTTAAACGAAACTAACAGAAGCAAAGGCAGAACTAGGGAGACTTGCTGGGTGACTGTGCAGTGATCCAAATGAGAGATGACGGTAGCACTCTAAAGCATACGTGGGAAAGTCAGGGGACTGGGAGAGTAGGTTAGTGGGACTGGAACAACTAAAACAACTCCTGAGAAGGTTAAGTAGTCACCTCCATTGGACCAAACCTGTACTCGCTGCTCTTGAATCAACCCTGACCCACAGTGACTCTGCAGGGTGTAAAATAAAACTGTACAGAAGATTGTCACTTCTTTCTCCAGTGGAGAAGCTGGTGGGTTCCAGCTACCAAAGTTTTGGTTATCAGCTGATCACCTTAGCCGCCGTATGTCCCAGGCATCTCCGAGGTTGGAAGGTATTCAAAATCCACAGTGGTCACAACATTGGATCCTGTTGCACCTGGAGCCACCATGAGTCAGAGCAGAGTCAACAGCAGCCAACAATAAGGGGCTGCTCCCGAGGGCACACCCAGAGGCAGTGATGCACGTTTGTCAAGAGGGCAAGAGAGAGGCCAAATGTGGAAGTTGGTCTTATTCATAACAAATTTGAAGTTATGACAATGAATCCAATGGAGACTGATGTATAGTGGAATGAGAAAAATTAAACATAAGAACTGAATTCTAGAAAACACCAACACTTAAAACAGGCAAACTAAATGCTCAATAGAAAAAGACAATAAACCATGAATGGTTTTAGAAGCAACAGAATTGTCAAGTAGAATAAGTATTGGATTCTCCCATTAGTTAGGTTTCCTTGGTAATTTCACTGACTTGTTAAAAGCAAAAGCCAAAGCCAAGGTTGTAATGCATTGGAGAATGGTGAGTGAATTAGCCTACACAACCCATATGACTTTCTCTCGAGATGTTTTTCTATGTAGTTAGACACAAATTGAAAGAAAATTTTATTTAAAGGTAGGGAGACTTGAATATATATATACCTCTAATAAGTGTCTCAGTAAATATTTTTTAATATATCAATGAATCCTGAATGGAATACTTAAACTTCTACACCACAATCTTATCTAATTCTTAAAGCACAGATTTGTCAGAGAACTGAAGTTTCCAAAGGCTTTCCTACCTTAGAAACAAGAGATAATAAATATAAGACAAAAACACGCACTCTGTGGGCCGAATGTGACCATTCTCACCACATGCTAGCCAAAGACTAGTGATGTAACAGTAATTTTAAAGGAGCAGTGTTACAAGAGTGTAGTCCTGCGTCTGAGAGGGTGTGTGATAACAATTACTTAGTTTTGTTGTTGTTAGCTGCCACTGAGTCAGTTCTGACTCATACAGCGTTACCCTCCGCACAACCGAACAAAGCATCGCCTGTCCTACGCCAGCCTCACAATTGCTGCAGTCACCGTGTCAGTCCATCTTGTTAGGAGCCTTCCTCTTTGTATTGCCCTTCTACTTTACCAAGAGAGACGTCCTTCTCCAGTCTCTCCTGATCACCTGCCCAAAACATGAGGCAAAGAAGGCTCGCTGTTTTTCTTCTAAGGAGCATTCTGGCTGTACTCTTCCATGATGGATTTATTAGTTCTTTTGACAGCCCGTAGTACTTTCAATATTCTTCTCCTGCACCATAATTCAAATAGACCAAATGTCCTTCTCTCTTCTTTTCTCAAGGTCCAACTTTCAGATGTGTAGGAGACTATTGAAAATACAATTCATGGCTTAGGTCAGGTGCACCTTAGTCCTCAAAGAAACATCCATACTTTTCAACACTTTAAAGAGATCTTGGGGAGCAGATTCACCCAATGAATGCGTCCCCTATCTCTTGACTGCTGCTTCATGAGCGTTAATTGTGGATCTAAGCAGGATGAAATCCTTGGCAACTTCAACCTTCTGTCCACTTATCATGATGGTGTTTGTTGATTGTGAGGATTTTTTTTTTTTACACGGAGTTGCAATCCATACCAAAGGCTCCAGTCTTCGATGGTACACCTAGTGCTTGATACGTAAATACAAGGAGATTTCACATAGTTGGTGGACATTTTCATTATTTTTCAGTTGTTTTCCACAAAGCTTTTGAAGTCTTCTTGTGTTTATGCATAGAATTGTAGACATACACACATATACATCTCACCAAACTTGTGTGTGTGTGTGTGTGTGTGTGTGTGTAGATAGTTGCCCTTAGGACTTTTTATTGAATATGAAGTCTTTAGGAATGTATGGAAGGTTAAAATGGAGACTTTCTATGGTTTAGTTTTAATGACATTTATATCATTTTATAAATCCAGTATTTTATAATACTTAACTGTGTTAATATTCTTGGCATTTTCCTATGTAAATTTGAATAGGTGAGTCACATTGACTCTCCACTGGACAAACTATGACTCTTCCTCAGAGGGCCCTTCTTGCTCTGACTAGAAGCATAGGGAGACTACTGAATCCTCTTCCTAACGCTACCTTACAGTCACAGGATGAAAGGTTGACCTCTTGACTTCTGCGCTGTATGATTTGCCTATGGCTCTACTTTCCCTTTATCCTTTATTCTTATTCTCTTGAATTCTTTTTATTCCCTCTTGCATCTATATTTTCTATTATACAAGTTGACTATTCTGATTTATAAAGCCACTTATAAGCAATTTCTATTATGATTCCAGCCAGCAAATGAAATAAGATGAGTAGACCATTTGTATAAGCAATGTCTAATTAAATAAACATCAGGAAAAGCGTTTAGCGTTTACAGTGATCAAAAGATGTACCCTGAAATGGCTCTAAAATTCTTTGTATGCCTGTTATCTTAGAAAGGAGTTTCAAACTGTACGCATGCCCAGTGTTGTAACATTTGACCCATTTGAACGCAATTAATACAAAATGAACACATAACTATGAATTTTAACACGGTTCTACACTCTTAACTCACTTGCTAACAGAAATTTATCTGGTATTAACAAATCAAAAAAAGAACCTTTGCCCTGGTGTAGGTAATCAGGAAATAATGCATACGAAGAAAACAAGAGAGAGCAGTGCTGTAAGTGGTGATGTCAATTAGATGATCAAAATCTATAGTTCCATATAGATATCAGGGAAATAAAAACAGTTGTCCTAAAGTGTTGAGATTTGGGTTGCTTTTTATTATTAGTTTTAATTTATGATACTGTTAATTCTTGGAAGAAGTACAGCCAGAAAGCTCCTTGGAAGCAAGGTGGTGAGACTTTGCCTCATACTTTGGACATACTACCAGAAGAGACCAGTCCCTGAAAAGGGACATCATGCTGGGTAAAGTAGAGGCTCATCAAAAGAGCGGAAGACCGTCAACAAGATGGACTGACACAGTGGCCGCAACAATAGGTCCAAACGTAACAAGTGTGAGGATGGAGCAGGGCTAAGGGGTGTTTCATTCTGTTGTGCATAAGATAGCTATGAATCAGAACCAACCCAACAGCACCGAATAACAGCAGTTCTGTGATGACACTCAGCCACATGAACATGCAAAACAGTAATAGTCTTAGTTCTGGATTCTATTGCTTATTTGATGCTGTGAAGAGCAAAGAGGCTCTTTTATCTAAATTGACACTGATTTCTTACTGAGCTTTTGCGTGACAACCGAATAAATAGGTGTGATCCCCTGGAAGCAGAGAGGACAGCCCTATCTTCTGGTAACCATCCTGTCCTGAAGAGGGTGGCTGCTTCTCCATCTTTTGTCTAATTCCATTTATACCCTGTGAGAAGAAAGTAAAAGACTCTCTTGGCTTCTTATCTTTTGCTTCCTTCTTCCCTCTTACAAATCCCAAGACATTTACCAATGAGCAGCAAGTCCAGCTGTCTACTAAGAAACACCTACTTGTGCTTGGCTGCTAACTAATATGAGTCCTGGTGGCACAATGCATGAAGCGTTTGGCTTCTAACCAAGGGGTTAGTGGTTCAAAGGCACCAGTGGCTCTGCAGGAGAAAGATGGGCAGTCTGCTTCCAGAGATAAGTATCATCTTAGAAACCCTCAGGGAAAACTGTACTCTGTCCTACAGGGCGCTAGAAGCAACTCAGCGGCAGTGGGTTTGCTACCCAAAGATTTATGATTTGAGTTGAAAGTGCCTCAGGAGAAAGGTGTGGTGATAGATTTAACAACAATCAGCCACGGAAACCACCCTGTGGAGCAGTGTTCTTCTCCGACTTCTATGAGGCCACCATGGTCCACAGTCAGATCAACAGCAATCGGCTTTGTTTGTTTATTGTTGTTTGTTTATTGCTTGCCTAAACAAAGAACTGCAGACTCTATGGATCAGTTTTGATTGGAATCGAGCTTCACAAGTCTTATTGTTGCAAATTTGCTGCAGACTAGTAGGAAGGGCCCTGGTCACTGTGGCACCTGACTTGTTGAATACTGGCTTTGAACTTGTTGAATGCTGGCTGTCTAACTCTGTCCCTCCTTTAATAGCTAAACATAGGGTGTGCCAACCAATTCAGCAACACTGCTCCAGTTCTTCTTCAATACTCTCATGACGCCGGTATGTCCTGGTTCCTGGTGAAAGAAGGCTGTTACCCAGCTTCTGCAGGCAAAGGGTGTGAAGGAAACTCCAGAGAACTCAGTGAGCCCACAGTGTACCACACTGGGGACTTTGAAGAATGGACGAGAATCACCATTGTTATTCCAAGATCTCTTGCATCCAGGTAAAGAAATCCTTCCTGTTTGGTGCCATAGCTCCCATTCCTTGGACACACATCTTTACTGAATCTCCCGGTGGCCTAAAAGAATGCACATCTTCTCAAGATACCTAGCCGAGAAATAATTCTGGAGAAAATCTGGTGTGGTGGGGGATGGGTGTCTGTGCATAAAGTGGGCCTGCCTCTTTCTGTGGTCTTTCAGTATTTTTCAGAGTTAAGCCCACTGTTTCCAGACAACAAAATTATCTGTCACATTGTGTTGGTCTAAGCTAATCACAAATTTTGATAAGGCATCACTTCTTAGGGACAATTTCTGGACCAGTTTTCTATTGCTGTATCAAATACTGCTTAAAACTTAGTACCTACAAGCCACAAACATTGGTTTTTCAAATTCTGTGGGTTGACTGGACAGTTCTTTTGCTGGTCTCACCTGGCTTCACTCACGTGGCGATGTTGAGGTGATGGGATGCCTGGGGGTGGACAGCACTTCTGAGCCCTCCACTGGACTGATAGCCTTGCATCTTCAAAGAGGCTAGAGGGGGCTGCTTCCCATGCTTATAAAGCATTCCTAGAGGGAAGCTCTCTGCAAGTAGGTCTTAGGTCTCTTAAGTCATGTTGGCTAGTATCTCATTGGTCAAAGTCATAGGACAAGTCTAGAACCCATTTGGGAGGAAGCTACGCAAAGGAATAAACACTATATTATTAGTTACTAATGAGTTGATTTTCAATTCATAGTGACCTCTCGGATAGAGTGGAATTGGAAAATATGATTTGGGGGGAAGCTGTATTGTAACAGGAACCCTGGTGGCATAGTGGTTACACATCAGGCTACAATCCACATGGTTGGCAGTTCAAAACCACCAGTAGCTCTGAGGGAGAAAGACTAGAGTTTCTACTCCCATAAACAGTTGCAGTCTCAGAAACCCATAGAGGGTCATCCATAGAGGGTCCTTTTGAGTCAGCATTGACTTGATGGCAGTGAATTAGTTATTGGTTTTTATTATTTTGACAGTTCACAGTAATTCAAGATGTTCCATGTAGATCATGAAATTTCAAAAGTTTGAGTGCTGTTTTTTTATACACTGGAAAACTCTTGACTTAATTAGGGTCACCAATCTTCATGGCATTTTCCATCTCCAGCAAAGCTTTCTCAACCACTTCTCCAAACACCTAACATGACTGAAGTTTTACATCAGAAAACCTTGGCTTTCAGCCATTGTCCACCCATTCCATAAATAGATATTGGGCATTTCTTGAACCCTTGAATACAATGATGAACTCAACAAAGTAGACACTTCAATTGTTAATAAATGTCACAAAGAAAAATAAAGCCGCAATAGGAAGAGGTCTTAATAAAAGCAGACGGGTGAAGGATGGTTACATGCTCTGAGTTCAGTGAAGCCAGAGTAGTTACAGAAGAAGAAAAGCAAAACTTTGGCTTGGGCTATGTTGAGATTCGTACACGACAGCCAAACAAAAATATAGTATAGACTACGTTTCATTTTAAATGAAAGAGTTGAGAGTTAGGAACCTGAAGCTGGTAAGTTAAAATCCATGTTATAGATAAGAAGAAAGTATAACTAGAAAATGATAAGACTTGTAAGGATTGGACATTTGGACATTTGGATGTCAGGAAGATGGGAATGATCTGGCAAAGAGACCCAAGGGAAGCCACAGGCAGACATGGTACAGTGGCCCTAATAAGTTAGCTCTGCTGCTCTGCCTGGAGGCAGAGTGGATTGTGCATTGGGGAGCAAGGTCAGCAGTTCAAAGCAGTGAGTACCTTAACAGGAGAAATATGAGCCTTTTTACTCCTGTAAAATATGGGAGTCTCAGAAACCCATAGGGGCATTTCCTCCCTATCTTGTATAACTCTGTCCTTCCTAAACATAGGGTTTGCCAATCAATTCACATTATGAGTCAGAATTGACTCAATGACCATGAGTTATTGAGTTGTACTTTGCTCATCCAAGAGCTCTGGTGGCATAATGGGCTAGCGTTCAGCTGCTAACCACAAAGCCAGTGGTTCGAACCCACTGGCCACTCTGTAGGAGAAAGATGAGGCTGTCTGCGTTTATAAAGATTTAAGGGCTCAGAAACCCTACTCTGCCTTTTAGGGTCGCTATGAGTTATAATCAATTTGATGGCAGTGGGTTTTTGTGTTGTTTTCATTTTCTGTTTTCAGAGCCTTCCCAAAATGCAGAGTATTTCAAAAATGTGATCCTTCACTGCCTGAGTATCACTTAAAGGTGTAACTGAAACTAGCCTCCCAAATCTTGGCGTGCTCTCATAATGGGTTAATTTGCCATAGCTTCGTAAGCTGGGACCTGCCCTGCCTTTGCTCAGTTAGCCCAAGCTCTGAAGTTGTCTGTATAGTAGTCCAAGCTGTGTACTCCATCACTGCTTTCCTCCCATCATACTTCTGTGGAACTGCAGCTTAACCAGAGCCCTTCCAAATAGATGTTTGCAGCATGCCAAGCAGTTAGGAAGCACCACGTGGTGCGCACTTGCTGCAGTGAAGAGAGTTTTGCTGCTGGAAGACACCACTATGAGAAAGCAGTCGATGCAGTCGGAGCCACGGAACACAGATTTGGCTTGGTTTCCTCAAAGCCTGATAATAATACGTACAGTTGGAGCTGAAACTTCCGTTGATGTTCGGTGGAATGAGCTCCTTGATAAATTCACAGGAAAAGCTTAGTATCACAAAGTGAGTCAATATTTTGAGGATTCCACTGTTATCAATATTTTCTTGGACCTCAGCTTTTGAAGATGAAATCTAAAATCTTCCCTCTTTCAAATCAAACTTCCTGAATAATTTTGAATCCCATCCAGCTTGCTGGTTGACGGCATTTGCGATGAGAACCCTCTGTCTTATAACGGGAAATATGTTTCCACTGTAGTCCAAGTAAATAAGCTTCAGTAAGCTGTTATTGATCCTTGTGCGGTATTTCCCACAAACTCAGATATCTCCAAATGGAGTGTTAGAAAGCTGTGAATTCCAAGTGCTAAAACATGGCTCTTTTAGAAATAATTCCAAGCAGATTTTTCTCAGAGCTGCAGTCTTAGCTCAGATTAGTTCGCGTGGCTGTTGCCTGCAGGGGAAAGACCGTGATGGCAGTAAACACAGGCCAAGCCTCCCACCCATGCAGCATGCCATAGAGCTGTGTCCTACCTTCCTTACACAGCATGCAAACACCCGACGGTAGGTCTGAGGGAGGCCAGAGACACACTTCCTTTGTATTCTGAAGACTGTCTCCCCCACCTCTACCCATCACCAGCGAATTCTTCCCGGGAACCTAAACAGCCGCAGCATCCCTCTGAAGTGTGTGCGTGCGGAAGGATGGGGTGTAGAAACCAGTTCGAGTCTCTCAGTCCTTCAAGCAAAGGGGAAAACAGCCAGGAGACAGGACGGTAGTCTTCACATCCCCTTTTCCTTCCTGATCTGGGACTCACAGGACAATGGAGAAGCTTTCGATCCTCAGCACCACATTATGGCTTGTTTCTAGTAAAATTCCAAAAACCAAACTCACTGCTGTGGAGTCAATGCAGAAGCATAGAGACCCTAGAGGACAGTGTAAAACTGGCCTGTGAGTTTCTGAGACTGTCATTGTTGATGGGAATAAAGAGCCTCGTCTTTCTCCTGAGGAGTAGCTGGTGGTATCAAACTGCTGATCTTGCAGATCACAGCCCAAAGCATAACCTCCGTGCTACCAGGGCTCTTACAGTAAAATTACATAAGATTAAACTCTTTCCGCAGTCATCACTTTCTGAGAATCCTTGCTGCTATCTAGTCAAAGACTTATTACATGTCCTCTTAGCTCTATGCTGCGAACTTACTTATTATGAATTTTTGTACTTTAACTTTTTATTGTAATTTGAGTGAAAGTGTACCATGCAAGTTGGTTTTCCATTCAGTAATTCCTACACATTTTGTGACATGGTTCACCGTACTTCCAGGGTAACAGCACTTTTCCACTTCCTTCCTGGGCTCACAGTTTCCAGTTGTCCTTATTTCCCAGGAGCCTTGGTGGCAGAGTGGTTATGCATTGAGCTGTTAACCACAAGGTCAGCAGTTCAAAACCAGCAGCTTCTCTGCAGAAGAAGGATCAGAAGTTCAGTGGCAGTGAGTTTGGTTTTTCTGTTAGTCCTGCCTTTTGAACTTTGTCCCTGGATAAATGCCGTCTATTTGATCTCATACGACTGCTCATTCTAAAGAGCATGTGCTTCCCTGGTGTCATTGTTCTGGTGGTATAGTGGTTACACATTGGACTGCTAGCCACAAGGTCAGGGGTTCGACACTGTCAGCCCCTTCACAGGAGAGATATGAGGTGCTCTACTATCATCACAGTTATAGTCTCCAAAAAGAGCAGTTCTGTTCTAAAGGGTCGCTATGAGTTGGAGTTGGCTCAATGGCAGTGAATTTGGTTGGGGTTCTCTGTTATTTTCTAGGCCTGTTTGGCTGTAGGAGTTCTGGCAGAATTGTGAGTTACGAGTTGGGCTGCTAACACAAGGTGCAGTGCGTGTGGTTTGGGGTTTTCATTTGTCTGAAAGTCAAGCTAAGGTTGTAAGTTCAATTCCAGGCCCAAAAAGTGGCCAAGAGCCATAGTCTCAGGGCTTCCACCTGTCTCCATTAGAACAGTAAGCCTGAACTTTTTTTTAATTATTGTTTTTAGTTTCCCACATTTTCCTTCCGCTCCATCTAGGACCCTCCATTGTGATCCTTTTCAGAGTGGTCAGCAGTGATAACTGGCACCATCATCTATTTTTTTCAGGTCTCAAGGGCATAGGGGCTGAGATTCGTGTGGTCCAGTAGTCCATTGAACTGTTTCCATGCATCTTTGGTTTTCTTCTAATTTACTAAAACAAAACAACAACAAAGCAAAAACTCACAGTCCTTGAGTCAATAGGGACGCATAGCCACCCTGTGGGGCAGGATGGAACTGCCCCTGTGAGTTTCTGAGACTAAGGGAATAGAAAGGCCCTTCCTTCTCGGGAAGAGCGGCTGG